CAATCATCAATATGCAATATGTTGCATTAGTGAGCAATGTTAAATAAGCTATTGTCTAACATATTTTGACGTCTTGTGCACAATTCTTCCATCGTGCACTTTGTGCATTGTGCAACATACTTAAAGAGTTCGAAGTTGTATTCCATGAGCGAATAAGATTGCACGCGGTGCATTCTGTTCACTTTATGTTGTGGCTGGAAGCTGCTCTCACCTCCTGGGGCAAAAGTCGTGAGCTGAATGTCATGGTGATTGAATACGACCCACTGATGTGCTTCCCGAGATGTACAGACTATACGTGCTATTGATTTTCCACAATTTTCTCAGTGTTTCGTCTAATTGCTTTAACCATCAATGTTATAACAATATTTAATAATTAATAAATAAATGTTTGTTTATATATGTTGAATTTATGCATAAAAGTATTTATAATATTTATATTAAGAAAACCTTTTTCCAAGTGTTTTTTCTATTTCAGGACTTTATCTAAAATTGCGAAAAGCATGTATAATAGACAAAAAGCAAAAATAATAGGAATCTATAATTTTTATTCAATTAGAGAAATATCATAGGTACATAAAAATCAGTATTATTATTCAGAAAATGGAACGTAAATTGTTTTCGCTAGTAATATTAATTATTGAATAAAATTTCTGTACTCTATAAGGCAGAACCTCTCTTTATGTAGTTTCCTTAGTAACATTTCAAAGAGATTCATTCACACCCGCACCTTCGATCGCAATTTATTATTGCCTCCGCAAACTCGCAACCGGGTATGTAACTGATAAAGCCGCTTAGCGTACGAACGCGTTTCCACACGCTTAGTTATGGGCGTGTGCAGAGTGTTAAGCTAGCGGGCAGAAGCTTCCCATGGAACTCTCACCTCCGCGGGCGAAAAGTGAACTTCGCGCCGACGACGTTCAGCAGTCGTGCAGCCGCGATCGCCGCCGTCACCGCCGCCGTGGCCGCGATCCTTTTTCGGGTGAAAGGTTGGCGAAAAATGCCCGACAGCAGCTACTGTGGTAGCTCCAATGCCACG